CGAACGCTCAGATCGTCCAAATCGTCCAAATCGCTGAAGTTGGGAAATCTGAACTTTTGCAGCTYGACGCGCAGCGTCAACCAATCAGAGAGACTCCACTGTGTGACGTAGCGACATATGTCCCGACGGGACAGTTTACTGAATGAGGTCCACTAACCTGAAACAGACGGAGCTCCTGCTCTTTAGCTAAAATGAGTGCCTGCAGTCGTGTCCTGATCCGCAGCAATGCGTGACAGCGACTCATCAGACTGGAAAAATAGTCCTGAAAGCAGCTGTGAGCCTCTTCTCTGAATTATCTGGTGAATTAATTATGAATTAATTATCTGATGAACGTGACACGTTCTGGCTGTCTCTAAATAAAGCAAAGCCACTTCCTCGTCCGACATTAAACAGCCCCACAGAGGAGGGAGGGGCGGGGCGGCTGTCGCCGTGCAGCGCAGCTGTCTGCGTCTGACCTCAAAGTGCACAAGCTTCAAACTTCAGCGTTGGCTGCGATTTTGAAGCTGAAATCGCGTTCGGTGTGAACGCACCATTAGCTATCTCATAATTATGAGATACCATCTCATAATTTTGACTTAGCTAAGTCATAATTATGAGATACTATCTCATAATTATGACTTAGGTATTTCATAATTATGATTTAGCTAAGTCATAATGAGATTAATGAAATGAGAACAATGAAGTGTTCAGTCTGAAGCGGGGATTGAACCCAGGACCATCTTGCTGTGAGGTGCCATCGCTAATCACTGACCCATTGTGCTGCCATGAGCTGCTCTGCATAAATAAACACGCCCAAGACTGACCAACCAAACAATGCAAACCTCATTGGTCTGTAGGACGGAGATCTGACTGGGAGCAATGGGGTGTCAACAGGGGATAACAGTCAGAAGTTACACAATTTTWGTCACGCAAAACTGTAAGTGAGACATGAGAAGGAAATTAAAAATCAACTCTGGTTGACTTGAGTTGTTTCCCTTAATGTTACAGCATTAGTTTGACTGAAAAAATATAACAGTGTTTATTTTTAAGGTGTATTTTTAACTTTTACACTACTTCCCTAGATTCAGAATAAAACACAAACCTTCTGGCCAGGTTATGGTATTGGCATGGGAGCAAACAAAGCCGCACTAAGTAGATTTCATTCTTCTAGTCTTTGGACAGCGAGACAATATAAATATTGCATGAATGCTCAGAGACTGTGCTTCCTAAAACTGTAATTACATCATGGTAGATTTCATCCTGGTGCCCAAGGTCAACATTCAGGGTCAACATTCACAGATTTTGATCAAATAAATACAATCTGGCAATATACAAGGAAGCCCTCTGCCTTCGTTGTGTTTGCTTTTACTGTTAATTTTTTTTTCTCTGAAGATCATTTTAGTTGATTTTGGATCATTTTTATGTTCATCTATGAAGATTAACAGGAAATGTTCATCAGATGGTTTGGAACATTTCTACCAAACCATTTTTGAGTCAATATGGCAAGCCACTTTGATGAAAAGAGTTGGAAGTCAGTGTTACCTTTAATAAAACAACTATTTTATAATAAAAGCTAAGGTAAATGAAGTTTACTGCCTTAATTACTATCAAAAAATTCTGTAAATCATAATTAAATATCCAACAAATTGGCTTAATTTCTTATCCTTACTTTAATAATTCATTATGATTCTAGTAAATGCTTATCAACAACAATGGAAAGAATTCACATAGGGCCTCACAATTCAGTGCTATGTATGTTTTCTTTTTTCTTTAAAATACTTTTGTCTTTATATAAAATGGTAAATGGACTGAACTTATGTAGCACTTTATCAAGCGCCATGGGGACCCCAAAGGGACTTTACACTAATCATTCACCCACACTGACAGAGACAGGGTTGCACCACCACCATCAGTAGGCAAGGCAGGTGAAGTGTCTTGCCTAAGGACACAAAACTCCAGATGGCTGGAATCGGGGATTGAACCAGCAACCCTCCGGTTACATGACGACTCCTCTAATCAGTCCACCAGTCACCCAAAAAACATCAATGCCAATAATTTATTACTGACCCTAATTCAGTGTATCACACAAAATTTGTATTGTATATAAAATATTATCTCTGCAATGTAAGTTTTATTTAGTGAGAAAAGTGGCTCTTTTTATTTCAAAGGTTGCAGGCCCCTGGGTCAGCGTGATAAGTGTTAACTTTAATTTCTACTGCTTGTGTGTTGAAGAGCTGACAGGAGGCTGTAAATGGAACAATAGTGCCCTCTTGTGGTCCAACCTGGTATTTCACCAAGAACTCTCTCCAACTTCCCTGATTCTGTTTGAACTCAAAAGTTTTCACTCTAATCTGTAGCTGATGTGACAGGCCTTTATGAGGAGCTCCAGTGTTGACATAAAACAGATTATTCCAAGTGATGTCGTATTTTTACATTGCACCGTCACTGCTGCAGTGTGAAGATACTGTCTGACACACTATCTCTACTGGAAAGTGTGTCAGTGCTGAAAAGAGCAGATGCCACACACTTTCACATGGTAATGTTTGTTTATTGTCATAGAAAAATAGTTTTTATAAAAACAAATAAGTTATGAATTCCAGCAGCTGCTTTGTATTATTCCTCTGTAATAACATCTCTTCCTTTCAACATCCTCTTCTCTCTCTCTCTCTCTCTC